TAGGCTCGCTCCATGGCAGCTACTAGGGATGGTGGATCGGGTGCTCCTACAGGACCATTTGCACTGTGCTTAGTGTGTTTCATTAACGGATTGAGTTCGGGAGATTCCTTAGGGCCAAGAAAATCGCCAGCATTGAAACTGGGTCGCCTGCAAATTGGTAATACTCCTGGGAGATTATCCAAGAGAGAGCTGATAGCTGTGGTAGCATCTGTCTGACGGGGCGGTTCCCCTGCCGATGAGCTTTGGTCTTCGTTCAGCTGACGTCGATATATCCTGGCGACCTCCCTCCAGTGCCGATATAGGGATATCTGCTGTGTTGAGTACAAGTGAGGCAACGGCTTGTAGGGGTTCACTGCCAGTAAGACGTTTGCTGCGTAGGTGTAAATATCGTCACGAAGGTACCGATGCTGTAACAGCTGAAGGAGAGCTGCGGCAGATAAGGTTCCGCAGCAGGCGGTGTCATCTGGCATGGGGTGGGGCGGCAGTGGTGGTGCACTATACGGCCACAGCTGGTTTACCGGTACTTCAAAAGGTGGTTTGGATATAAAGGTTGCCCTGAATGCATCAGCAGCAGCTGCTGCTGCGGTTGATGCCCGTTGTTGAAGCTGTTGTGCTGAGGCAAGCGGGCGCTCTAGTAAGTCCGAGGCCAAGACAGTGGTGCAACTGGAAGGGTCATCCTGAGCATCCGACGGTCCTTCGCAATCATCGTCGGTATCGCTTTCCTGCGCGGATGATGGAGTTTCGAATCCACTGGTGGCATGCGTAGACAGAGGGTCGGCGAATGCTTGGGTTGCCGCCTCCGGGGCATCCAGCAAAGACGGAACGACCCGCTTTTCCCTGCGCGGAATTTTCCTCTTCTCTGGGGATGCATTTGTCTCGGAGGACTCAAGTGTGTTGTGCAACGCTTGACACTTAGACACATTGTCCACAGAAGAAGCCTTTTCCTGAGGCGTGATCGATCGTGAGGCCCAAGCGTGTGAAACAACATCAGCAGCTGCCTGTGCTGCGACCACGCTGGAAGCTCCTTCGGGGTCAATCTCCACTCTGGCTTTGCCTGTTTTAGTGTCACAGTGTAAGATTTTGACCGTTACAAATCCCTCTTCAGAACAATGGGTCCACGCCAGCGCACCCGTCGGTACGCCCTGCAAGTTGTACCCTTTGTCTTGGTCACGGGTTCCACAAGAGCGAGCCATATTCGAGCACGTACGTGGAGAAAATGGAACATAGTTGTTTGTCCAGCAAGCATAGGTTGCTCCGAACGTGGGCTCAAGATTTTTCAACGGGGGTTACGAATATATGCCGTTTCGTCGGTTGTGCGCGGATTCTCTGAGGACAACCATCTCTCTCTCCACGGGGGCCCCCACAACAAGAGCCAAAACCCAAATTTCATGGGAGACTGTGGTTGTCACGCGATCCTCTGGACAAGGGAGAAGTTTGGAACCTTCGTGTTTCCTGGGGAACCTTCGGCCCACTGGTTCCCTGGAGGGACTACCCCTTTGGCGAAAACAACCTGCAGGCTACTCCAAATTGTAGGCGTCAGGTGAGACTTTAGTCAATATACTTGTGCTGAAAGCACAATATGTGCTCAGAGTGGCAGGTGTAGCAGAAAAGGGGTCACGTGCCCAAGAGGATGCGGCTGTAACAAGCCACGTCCCTCGTGCGGCCCGTGATCGGCATGGGTAGAACGTGGCGTCTCAGACTCTCCCAGGTCTGTATACAACGGCCAAATTTAGTGAATTGAAGGGATTTCACTAGTGAAGTCACCCCCATAGTTTTACCTGGTAGGTGGCGGAACAGCAGAAGGCGCGGCCGACCCTGAAGCCCCGATGCAGCCTGTGACTCAGGTCGACAGTGCTGTGGCCGGTTGTCTCGTACAGAAGTTCGTTTCCGTGGCTATGCCTGTCCAGTGAGAAGGGCCAAATTGCTAATTAGTTCTCTTTAAGGAAGACATGAGTGAGCGGGCGCTCCACAAAACTCCTGAAGTTCTACGTCATCTTGTGAACGGCGGCTCGGCGCTAGTTACTTCGGTTTATCGGTATATTCTTCGAACTACAATTAACCATCCTGTGAGTTCACTCATCTCGATACTTACAATTACGAAAGTGATACATCTGTAAATGATATTTCTCTGCTAGTCCGGCTATTTTCGTCTCCATCAGCCCCTGCCTCAGCATAGAATATGTTAGACAGTAGATTGTCTTGCATGTGTGGGTGGTAATGAAGTACTGATCTTCAATCAGATTGACTTATACGCACTACACTCCCCCTTCATTTTGGTGTATTCCAACTCGAAATCTCCAGTACCGAAATTATCTCCGCTGCCGCTGAGGACCATTTACAGTTGGTGCAGTGACACGCCGACTGCACAGAAGCAACTGACATCCGTTCCACTCCTCACGCTTCCTCAATATAGCGGTCCAAATGTTTGCACCTGTTGGTCCTTCTCTCAGTGACTTTAGTGCGACGTTGTCAGGTGTTGTTAGCGGAAAATTATATGCTTCCCTGGATCGCCTTATTAGATACAAATGAATGGTACGATGGCATATCCACGTTTGGCGTAAGTATACAGTGTAAGAATTAGCATTTATCGGAGGAGGAACAGCCACTGCCCAGAACCAGCTTACGACAATTGTCGGCTGGTCGCTCTCCTGTGGAGTTCGAAGTGTGTAAGCCCATCAAAACAAAGTTACCTCGGTTCAGAATGACGTAGTCGTTTTTCCAGAAGGTTTCTGCCTTCACCATTGACTCCACCGTTGCAGCAAGCGGCATATAGAATCCCTAAAATCTACTTATGCTAAGGGGGCTGGGTGTCAGCAGCCACGTCTGACATCAGGTCAGAGAACCTGGTATTTCGATGTTCGGCACGGTGGCCGGAAAGCAACTGGTCGAAGAATCCGGTGCTGCACTATGAGCAGGTCCTGTCCCGAGGTCACCCAAGCCAGTTTGAAGGCAGTAGAACCCCAACTAAAGCACATATCCCTGGCAGTCAGTTTAAAAGCCGATATTGCAAAAGGGATTCGCGCTACGGGCATAACGAACTATCGGTTCTTGCCAGTGATCATGAATTTTCGAAGCAAGCAGGGATTTTTGAATAACGGAGACACTCACGCTGCTGTAAACCGATGCCTCTGGCTGGCTGTGATCGGTGCTACTGTCTATTGCGTGACCCGCCGCCCAGGCTTTTCCGTAGGTGCAACGGTAGGCGCGTAACGGCCTAAGTAGTAAGCAAAACGCAGTTTAGAAGGAAACTGGGGATAATGGCTAGCGGGCGCGCTTGCAGAACCCTGTGGCTGGCCAATAGGCCATCGGCAGGGTGCAACAGCGGCCATGCTGTGGCCCTTAAGCAATACTGGCACTTCTTTACTACATGCAAAGGCGTTTAAATCCTCTCCTTATGTAGCGAGTGTTTTTTTTTGTCACTGACCACTGGTAAGAAAAGGTATGCTAGAAATCAGGTAGGGCGGTACAGGAGACAATTTTTGGTATCATCGGGAACTATGGTGGTGTGCCTTGTGTGTTCAACAAAACCCTGCTTCTCGCATGGCAGTTGAAGGCAGACCACACGCTCTGCAAGCATTCCTGTCAAATTTGGCTGAACACAAGCAGTTCTCCCACGAATAATAACCCATCCGTAATTTATTTGTTTGCTCTTTAATGGAACGATATGCCTGACACTGTAGTTGGGTAAGTGTATGCTCGAGCGCAATGCCCGTACCGGTTTACTGCAAGTTGCACGGAACCCATTATTGTGCATGCTGTCATGATGTTAGGGGCTCTGCAAGAACACGTCAGCCGGGCTGCATTGATGAACCCGCTACTAAACCTTGAAAACTGGTTTCGCCATTACTTCGTCGATGGACTTGGTGTAGACTCAATAAACACTGGCTGCCACAGCTACAGAAGGGCCAAAATTGACGCAGTCTGCATTTCACTCCCGAGGAGCTTGTTATATTCGTCCGTTAACTGGGGCGTTGCAGTGTATCTATTGAACAACACTTCACCTAGATAGGCCGAGGTAGTGCTTTTCGCCGATTTCCGCAAAACCATTAGTTCGAATGCGTTTCAGAGCACAAGTTGATTAATTTTTATTGCCACTGGAATTCCCGCTTTTCTAGAGTGCAGAACACCTTTGAATGAGCAAGAATTATTGCCAGTGCTAGCCAGTTACTGGAATGTAGAACTGGGTCATTAGACAGAGCTCGGTTGAGTCCCGTTTATCAGGAGGCCATAACGCTGCAACGACAGAGGAGGAAGCAGAAAACATGCCATCTAAGGTTTACGCGGTGGATACCGACCTTTTTCTAGCGAAACATGGGCCAATCATTCCTATCAGTGCATGAGCATTGTGAGTTCTTCGTTTTACCCGAAGAAACCTCTGTACCACGCTACCCCTTCAATCAGATTTTGAAGACTGCCGACACTGTTATGGCGGCAGCCAGTGGATCATATCCGCACCTAGCTGTATGCAGCTCAGCAGGGATAGCACTATCCCAGGGACAAACATTACATTAATTTAGAAGCCTCGAGATCTGCTGTGCACCAGAGACAGAAGTTTTCGCTCTGTTTCTTCTGTCGAGGGTCCCAAAGAAAACAATTCCCAACCCTAGAATTCAGACACCGTACTAACTTGTATAGCCAATGGTGTTCAGTTCTAAGTGGGAAGGCAATTCCTCAACACAATACCAGTTCTGGGTAATTCGTTAATTCTAAGTTTCTACAAACCTTCCTCGAACGCCTCCCGCGCTCTCTTTAAGCAAAAGTTGTCAACGTCTCCACATGAACCTCGGAGGGGTCGAAAACTACAGGGAGCAGGGCGTAGGTTATCCTTGTGTGCATGAAATAATTACATATATTTATTTTGCATAGAGGTTGGACAGTCGGAGCCACGCAAGTGCTTCAGAACTTGCTGGCGTGTTAGGTGAAGCAACAAACGGGGTTACCGGCGCTTGTACATGGGGTTGTGTTGGAGCGTAGAATGCACCAGCATTTGTTGCAGCATACAGAAAGCCGGTTCGTCTTCTCTCTAATCTCAAGCATTGGGTATGCTGTGCCCACAATGCCATGAAGTGATTGGGAGCATCAAAACAAACAACCAGAAGCAAAACACTACTTTCAAGACACTGTTAAGGAGTACAACTCGATTCCTTCGGGTTCACTCCATAGCAGAAATTCACACCAACGTTAAGCTAAATCTGTTTTAAATGGCTCTGACTCCTTACACTATCATCTTGACCCACATTCTCAATCGCCGTATTATACGGTGCATCCCACACAGTGCAAGGGGACTATGGGTGCTTGCCAGTGTGGTTTCCGTTTCGCACCGCAGTAAGATGGGTATATAGGCCAACATTAGTACGTTGGGGACTATACAGCAAGCATACTAGCTAGCCGGCTGGACCGTAATAATATATGAGCCTTCTCATTCATTCGAACTCCTCTGCTAGTGCCTCTTTCCTCGAAAGCTGCAAAGCCGAGCTGGTTTAAATTTATGGGTGAAGCATATCGAAATTCAAAAAAGCAGGAGCCGAAATATGCCACAGGCCCAATGGGCTTTTGCCAGTGGAACTATGTCACGTTGTGGGGGTTCAACACGAAGCAGAACGCGAGGCTTTAGAACACGACATCTCTACATAAGGACATCCTTGGTATTAATGCTAAACTTAAACAGGTATTTGGATGATAGTTGGGGTAAAGGCTACAAAGCGGGCTGAGTGAGCCATGTGCTGTTGCCGTCAGCACACCAACACGGTCTCGAGACCATCTCACGTTCGTGATCTGGAAAGCACCAGCCTTCGCAGTTCAAAAGGCTCCTCCAGATTCACAAAGCGGCATTCTGTCTTTTTCGTATGTTTTCCTTATAGTAAGTATTCTGAATGGGTTTATAGAGTTGTCAGAAACAAGGACACCCCGTCCAACTTCCAGCAGTTCTGTGTGCCGAACCACCGGCGCGAGGATTGTCAAAAAGGTCGGAAAGCCGTCGAAGTTGAATATTCCTACTGCACTTAACACTTCTTTTGCTGTGAGTTGGTTTTCTTCTTTTGTTTCAGACGGGGTTTGTCTATGTGGAATTGTGGAACGAGCGCGTAGCCGACGTGTATGTTTAAGCCTGGCGGGTGGTCGCATTTGTTCAATTTGCGCTCGCTGAGCTATGAATCTTCTTTCCTGTACTCTCACACTTTTGTGAGCTTTTCGT